CAATCGCTGCACCGTTTAATCTATTTATCGTGGAATTGTTGATCGATGGAACAAATGGTTGGTGGGTTCTAAATTTCATACTAAAGTGTGATTTTGAAATATGGGAACTTTTACTCAAAAGAAATCGATATATATATATATATATATATAATTTCTTTTGTAAATTACGTTGAAATACTTTTAGCATGAATTGTTCATATTTATAGAACATATCAAATTCAAAGCGTCGTATCCTTTTACTAAATACGCACAAGTAATTGAAACAGTTAGTGTCACCTTCTCCATTAAAACCAAGGATTACCAACATGGTGTACGCCAATTATCAAGCTTTTAATTAATCCATTTTAGTGTACTTATTTGATAATTAGGGACAATTATACTTATTTTTCATTAAACTTTAGTCAATTTTGGCATTTAAAATATTAAAACTGTACCCTTATTAACATAAAATTAATTTTGCAAGAGTCAATTGACAAGAAATGATAAAAGAATTTGCACATGGATTAAAAGTGCACTAAATGTGGAAGCGTCTGTAGAGTATTGTGGCAAGTGGCAAGAGAACACTCTTGTTCAGAAACGAAATTTGTTTAATTGCAATATATTTTTGTGAAAAGGGAATTTAACAGAAAACCAACTGCAAGACACTTTGGACTACACGGACGAGGTTCAACGAGTTGGCATGGAAACCATCCCAGCTTTGTTTTTTGAAGCTGTTCCATCCTATGTAGGAGTCATTATCGACTGGATAAAATATGGTATGTCATGTATTTTGATATAGAACTCGATTAAATTAGAATTTCATTATAAATTGGCACGCCTTTTAGGTGTTTTGCCGGATATCCAGGAATGTGAATGTTGGTTTCATTCTTTATAATTTGGGGTGTGCGATAGACTTACCTTCACGTGGTGCACCCTGGGCAACGTATACTCATACGGCAAAAAGTCTATTAACTGGCAGTTGACTTCTGACTTCAATTACCATGATCTATTAACTGGCAGTTGACTTCTCTATGTCATATTCGAAGTCTATAAACCGGCAGTTGACTTCAAACTATCGGCAAAAAAATTCTATTAACCGGCAGTTGACTTCTGACTTCAACGCAAAAAGGTCTATTAACTGGCAGTTGACTTCTCACTTCACAAAAAAGTCTATTAACCGGCAGTTGACTTCTGACTACTCAAACGGCAAAAAAGTCTATAAACCGGCAGTTGACTTCTGACTGAAAAGGTCTATTAACTGGCAGTTGACTTCTGACTTCAAATAAAAGTCTATCAATCGGCAGTTGACTTCTCACTTCAAACTAAAGTCTATTACCTGGCAGTTGACTTCAAACTACCATGAGTAAGTCTATTAACTGGCAGTTGACTTCTGAGTTCAAACTATCATGACCCCACTGTATGGCATATTCGACCACTTCCACTGTTTACCATGACTCCACTGTATGTCATATTCGACCACTTCCATGGTACGCACCAGCACAACTGCTTGTCATATTCGACCCCTTCCACAGTACACATCTTACCTCCAACTCCATGTCAAATTCGACCCCTTACACGGTACTCATCTTATCTTTTCCCTACCTTTGTGCCTGTCTGCCTCTTTTACATCTGTGAATCGCTCTTCTGTTCCTCACCCCTCGACTTTTTGCTACTTTGATTAATCTCAACTCTGTGAGGCCCGAAGTCAGCTAAATGGCTAATGATAACTATCAAAACGTCTGCCATTTGAAATAAATAAATTCTTTATAATTTAAAATCATTGCCAACTCAATTTTATTTACAAGACTAATCTATTTGAAATTGTCCTGTCAATAGAATATGCTGTTAAAACTACTTCTATTGCACGTGAGTATTTTATATTTGTCTTCATTTTGTCACATAGCGAATATAAAATATTAGTCAAATCATGTTTCAATATGGTTATTCAGACAAAAGCACATATCAAAAAATTAAAGAAATTGAAATTGTTAATTTAAACTCTTTTAGCGACAACAAATTGTGGTGAGTCTGAATTCGAAATAATCTTTCTTTCATCTTGGGTTGAAAACTGTTACAGGTGAAACCGCATGTCCACTGCATAACTTCAATATCTGAAGAGGACAATTTTGACATTTGTAGGGTTGACAACAGTTTTGACAACAGGCAGTGGTGAGTCAAATTTTAAACAAATCTTTCTACCATTTTCAGAAAGATGGGTTTGGAAAATCCAGAATGTAGTTTTAAGATCAATCTATTTTTGATCTGAAATCAACGCGATTTATATTTCAACTTGAAAAAAATTTACGGAATTTGAAATTGCATTATTAATAGGTTTTGCAATCGGATCCATTTCTTCAAGTAGGTTTTCTATTTTCGAAACAATTTAGAATTTGATGTAATAGGCAACTGGAAAATATATTTATTTTATTCAGCTTATTTGGGAATCGGCCTGTGGATTTTCAAATGAATAGGCAAAATGTCGACAAGTTCCTTTAACTTTCATCAGCTTTTTCCTTAGCACTATAATTTTGGTAAAATCATAAATATTCTTTTAAATTCGCAGCCGTTATGCGCAATATTGTATCTTTGATGGTATAACATGTTCAAAAAACACACTCAACACTTCAAATACGTTTAAAATTCCTATATATGAACGCTTAGAAATGCCAGTTTATTGCAAGGCTAACTATCTACTGTTACCAATATTGATGGCTTAAGTGATTTTTGAGTTAATGAAGTTGGGGGAAATACGTCAAAGTGAATTCTCATTTGGCGCTTAAATCCATGTCATAAGTTTGACATTAAGCTGAAAGATAGTTTAGGTTTGGAGCGTTTTAAAAATGTCAACTAGTGCTTTAATATAATTACTACAAAGATGTTTAATTAAAAATCTTTTCATTAAGAACCAACATAATGAAATGGAAGGTAACTTTATATTTGTTAAATAAAATATACAGCACTATATAAGCAGTAGTCGATTAACAAGCAATTAATTGTTTCAATCATTTCTGTGGTAGATGAATGTGGACAATTGATTATCATGCTAAAAATAAATGTCTTCGAAAACAGAAGTGGTGTTTGCTGAATCAATTCGTAAAATACTGTTGCCATTTAGCTGCAATAGGTCTAGTAATGGAATAAAATTTAAATATACCCCTTGGAAATTAAGAAATTTTAAAAATGACACAACTAGAGTTTCAGTTCATTGAAGTTAAAATTTTTATATGTCGATATAAGTAACATAGCTTTAAAGTTTTATATGCGGACGAAAAGACTTACGTTCAATATCAAAAGTAAACAACCGCTATATATTGATTTGTTCGAAGACTGAGCATTTCAGAGTTTTAAAATACCAAATTACCTGATTGATATTTCAGTACCTCTTTGTTATCTAAACTAAAAAAATTTTCACAGAGGAAGTTTTTCAAATAAATGAATAAAATTGTAGGAACTGGCGAATAATGTTTTATCAAATTGCCTGAAAACTATTGAAAAATACAAAATTACAGTATACGAATAACAAAACACACGCCTTTCTTGCTGTGCACTGCCTGTGGAGAAAGAGAGCTATTTGGGAATTTTATTTAGTGCAATCACTCTGGGAATAAAATACGGCAATTGACTCTTTGATCTTCCATCATTCTGATTTAATTTGAACTGAAATTTTTGTCATGCTGAAAAAATTATATTTTAAGCAAAACGCCATTATTCTTTTTAAAATTTCAATATTTGAAACAAAGATAAATAAGTAGAAATTTATTGTTCTGCTTTAGCAGGAGAATAATGAAATACGAATGAACCCCACTCTGAGAGTAAAAAAATATGCAGCTGGCAATTTAAAGAATGGTGAGACTAGGGAAACATCTTTGATCTTAATCATAAACCATCCGCCAGTCAACATCATGATAACTTGAATATGCTTTTTCAATCGATCACAAAATATTAAATACGTGACGAACTTAGCAAAAAATGACGCAATTATAGGAGCAATATACTCTTAAATTTTATAACTAAGGGTATGAGAATTGGTGCTTTAATGTGTTCTAGCCAAAAGTAAATGCATTGGAACAAATCACCAAATCAAGTGGTCACCTGGACAAATGCCCCAAATATAGTTTTTGAAACCGGGGTACGCGATAGACTTATCTCCACTTGGTGCATCCTGGAAAACCTATCTTCGTATGGCAAAAGTCTATCAATCGGAATTTGATTTGACTTCGATTTATTATTATTAGCCTGAAACAATGCTGTAAGAGAAATCGACTTCGTCAGGGCGCATCACAACGACTTCCGATCCTCCAGTGGAAGTTGTCACAGTGGAGGGTTGTCACAGGACAAGAAGATCCAAGTCCAGAAAATCCTACAAACCCATGATATGACATTAGCACAACTAGAGAAGCAAATATCTCGGATGAGAAACGGAAGTACTACCAATTCCCAGGTTACACCCTGTACCTTCTAACGGCGAGTTGCAAGTGGAATTCTAACTGGAGTAAAAGAAGGAATTTGCAAGTGGAATTCTGACTGGAGTAAAAGAAGGCCTTAGGTTACACCCTGTGCCTTCTACCTAAATACCGGCAAGTTGTTACACCCTGTAGAAATCTACCTAAATACCGGCAAGTTGCAAGTGGAATTCTAAACTGGAGTAAAAGAAGGCCTCACCTCACACTACGACCTGATCACCGGAGTGAAAGAAGGCCTCACCTCACACTACAACCTAATCACCTACCTAAATACCGGCAAGTTGCAAGTGGAATTCTAACTGTGCCTAAATATCGGCAAGTTGCAAGTGGAATTCTAACTGGAGTACAAGAAGGCCTCACCTCTCACCACGATCTAATCAAGAGTATGATTCGACACTAGACATATGTGAAATAATGGGATTAAATGTTTGAAAATGTCAAAACCACTTCCAGATATATGCCGACTATGGTCCACCCCAGAATTGTCCCAAATTTGACTTTCCGAACATCTCACAAAAAACAATAGTATTGGGAGACTTAAACGCCTATTCCACCAGATGGGGCTATAAGAATACAAATATAGCTAGAATGCAAAACGAAGACTTGCTAAACAGCAACCCTCTGGAACTTATTTACAGCAATAAGGAAGCAGCAACCCTCTGGAACTTATTTACAGCAATGAGGATCCGGCTGCACTACAATGGAACCAGAATAACGCCTGACTTTCTCCTGGTTTCAAGCAACGTCAGCAAACATAAACGCCGTAAAATCATTGACGATCCTGGTTCTGGTCGCGAACATATCATTGCTAGTATTACCATCGGCAGCAAAAGCATGACAAGAAAATTGCCAACTAAGCTACCATGGAACTTCAAGATGGGTGACTGGCCTTGATTCGCAAGCGTTTTTGAAAAATGAACTTCATACAAGTCCCCTGCAATTCAACCAACATCCTGACAAACTTTGCAATGATATCACGAATATTATGCTTAGATGTGAAAAGAAAAGTATTCCCCGAGGCCAGACTAAACACTATCGAGTGTTTTGGTCCAAACGCCTTGAATAAACACTATCGAGTGTTTTGGTCCAAACACCTTGAGGAAGCTAAAAGAAAGCGGGACGCCCTTCGCAACACTGCTGATCAGTGTAAGAGGGACGCCCTTCGCAACACTGCTGATCAGACTGGGAGGGACGCTCTTTGCAACACTGCTGATCAGACTGGAAGCGCGACGCCCTTCGCAACACTGCTGATCAGACTGGAAGAACAAACGCCCTTCGCAACACTGCTGATCTGACTGGAAGAACGCTTTAGCAAAATTGCTGATTAGACTTTAAGAACGGGAGCGTACAAGCCTGGAGACGGCAATCAGCTGTCTAAAGGCAAGCCATCGTATAAGCAAAACGACTTACTTTGACAAATTCATCTCAAATATCAACTATCACCGTGATAGCCAACGCACATTCAAATTCCTCTAAAGCGACTAATAAAGCCCCAAAAAAGAACCAATAAGTTTAAAAACAAACGGCTTACCACCGACTCTGAAATTGCTAACTGCTTTGCCAAGTTCTATTAACACCAGCTAAAGAAAAACCCTTTTGTCAGAATATCTTCACGAGATTTAAAAATACAAGTAAGACAGTTGGGTGAAATTAAGAAAGACGTAGCAACAACAAATAATGTACTTACTGAACCATTCAGACCTTGCAAACTTAATGCTGCGACAAAACAGCCAAAGTGCAAAAAATATCCTGGTGAAGACGGAATTCATCCGGAATTTCTAATTAGAATGGGACCAAAAGCCAGGGAAACCTTGCTGACGCTTTGGAATAATATCTGGGATACCAGCCCTGTACCAAAGGAATGGAAAGTTGCCATATTAATACCGGTATGAAAAAAGGGTAAAGACAATAGCAAATTTGACAACTATAGGCCTATCTCCCTAACAAGCGAACAGGCAAAACTTATGGAAAGAATGTTTAACAGGAGGCTGACTTGGTTCATTGAGACCAACAATATTCNAAATCGATGACAGACCAATAAGTCTCTCTCATTCCATGGATACATTAGTAGACAGTGATGTAATGTGTTGCACACAACTACTTGACTTCTTCAGGAAATCAAACACCCCTCCAGAGCAACAGCGCCCACTGGCCCTTGAGACAATCAATGTCAACTGTGCTGCAGATCAATGGCACCAAGTGTTCCCTGATGGGTCATACATAGAAAAATAAACAAACGTTGGTGCAGGTGTCTATTCTGAACTCTTCTCTTTCTACGCAGCAGCGGGACATAATAGATCCGCTTTTGAAAGAGAAATAGAGGCTATTAGGATAGCACTATGCCAATTATGTTGCCTGGATACGAAATTCACCAAAGCGGTGATACTTTCGGACTCACAGTCAGTAATGAACGCAATTGAAAACAGAGAGCCACCAAAAACAGCTGAGATAAAGGAATGTAGAAACCTCTATGAGCTGCTGAGAGAGAAAAACAAAACAGTGGTCCTACAATCGATTCCTGGTCACTGTGAGCTTGCTGACACACTTGCTAAGAAGAGGACAACGATTTTGCAATGCATGAACCGGCCAATGTCTTTCCACATAATGAAGATCTTAATCAGGAGAGAATTCCAGACCCCAAGGTGCAACGAAATCAAAGCTCGAACAAAGGAGAAAAAGTTGATAGTGACACTCTCCAACATAGTTGACAGGGCAAGAATCGAAGCCGTTGCTGAGTTCAGACTACGTACCGGACACGATTGCTTGGCAAAACACCTTCGCAGATTGGGAGTATACACTCGACCCACATGCCACGTACGTAATCTACATTAAGAAATTTAGAAGACCCACATGATTTGATGTCCAGCCCTAAAGACAACGCGGAAAGTCGGTGATACTGGGAAGCATGAAGAAAGGTAGTGAACTGCTATTAATTAACTGCTATACAAACAAGTGGGCGAAGCTGAAGTCAAATTTTTTGGGCCAATGATAAATATCAAAAAGCCTGTCATTTGAAATAAATAATATTTCAAAAATTATTACATCTATCGACTGAGTAAATTTTCACTGATAGTCGTCTTTCTGTATAATATTCTGCTGGATCAATGAAACGAATAGTTGGCACCATGATTCTTGATATTAGCTCGTTTCATCATTTACACTTCAGTTATATGATATTAATAAATGATTTACGAGTTAGTTTTCCTTCCATTAACGAATCGCACATCATAATAAGTAAATATCTAATGATTTTCATGTAATTAAATGTATTACAACTAAAGGTTCTAGCACAAAGAGAGAGCATATACGATTGTCGAGACCGATTTCGTTTTAGAAAATTCATTAGTATTTTGGTTGAAGTATAGAAATCGTTGAATAAAAGTCGAGGGCTTATTTCAATTCCGCGTCATATGTTTAGGATTTAAAAAGAATATTCAAAATAGGTTCCTTTAAAGATCTCCATCTTACGGAAAACAAATGTGTGTTTTAGCCATTATTATTTCAAAGAACAAACGCGGCAACACTTAATCCATTTATCTCGGAATTATACATGATAGCAATTTAAAAGTTTGCGACCTTCAGGATTTCTTACAATACAACGAATCAACTGGAGTTTTCATTTGATAATTGTCTTCTTAATCGTTATTTGTCATTTAAATTCCAAAATTCCTGACTAAGAGGCATGACAAAATTGCAATCAATTTGTTTGCTAATCTATTACCTCCTTGGCAATTAGACAAATAACAAGTCCAATTCTGATAGTAATGCTTCTTCTTATCATCCTCTTTCACTTTCAGCCTATTTCTAGCCTATAGATGGAAGGTGGCAGATGATTGGTGGAAATATTTTTATTCTAATATCAAACAACAAATATATACATTCATGTAAATATGTTTATATAACAAGTTTGAAAGAACGGGACATGTTTCTTCATTTTATTTATATTCTATTATTTTCATTATCATTTGTGTTAATTTTTGTTAATTAATTTTGTTAATTTTTTTTTGAAAAAAAACGGACATTAATTAAACTTAAATGCATTGCTTCAAGTATAGAACAATATCGATTCGCTTAAACTTCAGATTTAACTTAGTTACAAATTAAGTGTCAGCATACAAAGTTTAGGCCAATCACCATTTTTGTGCTCAGGTTACATGTGGTTCCTTGTTTCCTTCGGTGCGAAAATGAAGCCAGGCAAAGCAAGATGTTATCTAATCGATACGAAATATGCCTTAGAGATTTTTTTCAATATCCTTAAGTATTGTTTCCTTTTTTTGAAATGTCCATTCATTGAAGAAGTTTTAATAGTTCAAATTAGCCAATTTATTTGCCTAAAATTAATTTCTTTAAAAAAGTTAAGATCAATGGTACAGCTCATTCATATGAAAGTATTGATGAAAGGCGCCTTGTTGGCGTTGAGGCACATGAAGATTTGTGATGTTGCTACAAAATAAATGAACTAAGGGAAATTTTGTGTCACACAAAACGATTCAAAACAATTCTTGAATTGAAAAAACTCAGTTGGAGTCGCATAGGAGAGTGCTGAAGCAATAGAAAATAATTATAAATGTCAACATCATGTGGTCTGTGTAGAAGGATGAGGTTGTGCCATTGTCATGTCCATGACGGCAGAGATGAAAAATGGGAGCGCTAGATGGTGCAATATGAGAAATTAAGACATGTGGCCCAATATAGTAGCTGTCGAAACATGTTTCATTATTGGCTAATATTTTCTTTTTAAAATCTATTTTAAATTTTAACCTAGCATACCCAAATCAGCCTTTGAGCCTTTTAGTTTTTTATAACAAAAGTATCAAATGCAGAAACAATTTTTCTTTTAGGATGAAACTATCTAAAGCTTCCATCATTCCGGGATCCTTAATGATTGAAGACGTAAATACCAATCAACGCTAATATGATTTAATAGTGTCAAATTAATACAAAATCAATCGCTTAGTATATCAAAGCCACTATTTACAGTTTTGATTTCAAATGGTGTGTTTATTTGGTTCTCCGCTTAAGCTACTCATTTTTATGTCGCACTGCGATTGCGATTTCGGTTAATTTTAACAAGAAACGGTTCTGTAAACACGTTTAATTTCAGAATGAAGTTACGTTTGATTCAGAGAACCATAGTGGAACTAAGAAAGCTTCAGTATATAAATGAAAAAAAACACAAAATATCGATGCACATAGAATTAGGGAAATAAGATCCATTCTATCACTTTACTATTTCCAAAATTACACAAATCAAAAGATGTTAAAAGTAAAATTGATTTAACAAATTATTTTTACTGACAAATCATTTTTCGATTCAAACAGTTCTGTCTCTATAATACAGAATTAATCAAGATTGTGCTTATAATATTCATATTTCCTCTTCAAATTTATTAGCATTTATTTCACCCAACCTACTTGACTCTCTTGAAAATTTTATGCTTTATCTCATACTTTTAATTAAAGAAGCCGAACATTTTTTCCTCTAATTTTAAGAAACAATTTATTAATAACTGGTTTAATATAAATTTGGTAATCAAAGATTTAGGAATACTCGAAAGATTCCTGTTGCTTTACATTTGATACCCATACAAGAGAACTGTGCTTGCTGTAAGGTTCAAAAGCCTATCTGATTAAAATAGTGTAAATAAACCGAGTTATAATCATTCAGCATCAACCAATTTCTTGTAGAAAACATATTAAGAAAATTGATGCATGTATTGGATGCGAAATTAGCAGAGATCTATCTACCTGTTTTTTAATAAACCATCATTGAAATATGTCACTTTTTCAAAAAATGTGAACCTTGTTGAGATGAGCGCGAAACAAAACAAAGGGAAAGTAGGCAGACAATGCGTCTTTGAGAAAACATTTTTTTAATTGAACTTTGTTTGTGCATATTCAATAGATCGTACAACAACTATTTTGAGACCATTATTATTTAGAGAACAATGTGTGACATTCAAATTGTAATATATTTTAACTTAATTAATTTGTCTTTAACTTGATTTCAAATTATGACAAGTAGTATATTTCAATATATGGGTAACAAATATTGAAAATTCATGCTTGCAATTGACATTTTTTCAAATTAAAGATTGCATTATCTTCATTTATTTTTAGAAAATTAAGCCAAAACCATTCGAGTTAATGAATTACAGGCAAAGTCTTATCAATTTGTAAAAATAAAATTGTGTTCTGCTTCTTGCACATTTTCTGCAAGCATTAAGAAATGTTTTGCGCTTTAATTTAGACAAATTGTAAAGTATAAAACGTTACTCAAAGCAAGCAATAATCT